ACCTGTTCACTGTCTGCTGATAAAAAGGGATTATTAACTAAATCTGAGTGAAAATGTAAAAATATGCAGATATATAACAAATTATAAAAGTTTTACAGATAAGATTCTCCAGATCAGGTTTTGGTAAAGACACGAACGGGCAAAATGAAAGGCAACGAGGCACCAGACTGAGACTGATCAGAGGATGAGACGACCATCAACGGATGCATCCCAACATGCTACAGATGTTTCCTCAACCACTTGTATCTGCCCTCTTTCCCACTGCACTTGAACGCAGCACGGACTGAGTATTTTAAAGCCTGGTAACCGTCAGTGAGACACACTCTTCCTTCACACTGTAGTCTATTTATACGCCATCCTGCTGCCACTAGAGGACCACATGTGGATTAATCCGCCACTAAAAATAGACCCCAACAAACTAGTTCCTCCTGTTTGTTTCAGGAACTTTACTGAACTCTTTATTTAGAAATAAAACTCTATATTGGTGTATATCCTGTATAAGTATTAATCTAACAGTTAGTGAACTGAGGTTGAAGTTGGAGGGTTAATATCATCAGATGGACACTTTCCTTTACTGTGACGTCATATTCAGTAATATTTAGAGAATATAATATTCCATGAATATGAAACAGCCTCTATTTTCACAAAAAAAACCAACATGTTATTCTAACCCCATTCATTTTTTACAACAGTGGAAACACGGATTTCCGGAAGCGTTCTGACTTAAGTGACTTGTTATTGGCGGTTTAGTGTTAATAAGCAGCTAATATTTGCCATTACTTACTTAATAATGGTGATTATATGATGTGTTTACAGACAGTTCTGCTGCCCTCAAGTGGCAAATAATAATTACAGCTTTAAAACTGCATCATTTTTATCTTCCAACTAACTGAAGAATCTGGTGGTAATTTGTTGATTACAGCTGTTGGCATTGTCCTGATCAACCAAACTCCATTCAGAAAACAAGCATTTTAAAAGTTGTTTGCTCGTCATCTTGCAGACAGAGTCGACAAAGTCTGAATTCAGACTTCTTACAACTTTTATTTGGTTATTTCAGCATCATTTTCATCCGTTTATTGACATTAAATCTGTTTATTTTAGGCTCAGAGTGCCGCTGTAAACCAGATTAAAGGGCAAATATTCACTTTGCTTTTGGTGGGAATGCAACATGAGTTCTGCTGCTGCGATGATTACAGATTAAAAGCTGCATTATTTTTATCTTCCAACATATATATATTGTAAATAAAACATTACAGATCCCACATGATCACAGCTCAACCAGGACGCATGAGAGGTCGTGACGACGAGAGGAAAAAGGTGATTTCAGCACATTAAACTTAAAAAAAAAACTTTTCATTTCAAAGTTTTTATTTACACGCCGCCATATTTACACAACAGTCACTTCTCAGTCGAGTGGCTCTTCATGTGAAGCCTCACGTACGTCTTTCGGTGGAAGCCCTTCCCGCAGATCTCGCAGCGGTGCGGTTTCTCCCCGGTGTGCGTGCTGCTGTGCTGCTTCAGGCTGGAGTGGTCGCTGAAGGACCTGCCGCAGATGTTGCACAGGTAGGGTTTCTCTCCCGTGTGCGTCCGGATGTGTCGCATCATGTTGTGTCGGCAGTTGAAGGACTTCCCGCACTCGCTGCAGAGGAACGGTTTCTCCCCCGTGTGGATCCTCATGTGCATCTCCAGGTTTCCCTGGCTGTCGAAGCACTTCCCGCACACCTCGCACACTTTCCCGTTTTTGTGAGTCTTCAGGTGAAGCTTCAAGTCCTCCTCCGAGTCGAAGTGCGTCCCGCAAACGCCGCAGAGGTCCGTGGCGTGACTTTTGGCGTGATTCACCAGGGAGACCATGGAGTGGAACATTTTCCCGCACACTTCACATATGGTGCGAGTGTGCGGCTTTTTGGGCGACGACGGCTTCATCTTCGCCTCGCCGTCGCCGTCACCGTTGCCGCCTTCGCTCTCGTATGCAGACGCGTTGCTCGGCTCGCTGTGCTTCTTGTGCACGTGAACCAGCAGGTGGCGCTTCAGGGTGGAGTAGTCGTTGAAGCATTTGCCGCAGACGGTGCACGGATACGGCTTTTCCCCCGTGTGGATCCTGATGTGTCGCATCATGTTGTGGCGGCAGTTGAAGGACTTCCCGCACTCGCTGCAGTTGAACGGTTTCTCCCCCGTGTGGATCCGCATGTGCGTCTGCAGGGAGCTCGACGCCCCGAAGCATTTCCCGCAGACGCCGCAGACTTCGGCTTTCACGTGCGTCTTCAGGTGAGCCTGAAAGTCGTCCTCGGTCTCGAAGCGTTCCCCGCACACGCCGCAGACGTCCTTGGGGTGAACTTCCATGTGGTTGACCAGAGAGACGTTGGCGTGGAAGGCCTTCCCGCAGACTTTACAGCAGATCCGCGATTTAGCTTTTTTGTTGGGGTGCAGCGTCGGTGCCATCGGCAGGCGAGGCCCCTTCCTCTTCTTACACTTGTGGCTGCTGTCGCTGTCGTCACTCGGAGACCCCGCGCTGCCCCTCCACTCCTCGTCGCTGTCCTCGTGTTCGGGCGC